TCCCCCTATGTGTTGTTGTGTAATATAAAGCTGAAAAACATAAAAATCTCAATCAACACAATGCAATTTACGTGGTTCAGTATTGCTTATGTCTACGGGGAGGGGATGATTTCACTTTATTATGGTATGGGAAAAACAGAGTTACAATTCACAAATACTACAATATTCCTCAAATCACTTTATATATATTTGAAACAAAACTAATATGGAAAATCCAATCAATGCCATAATTAGATCTCTTATAATTATGACCCCCATAAGGAAAGCAATTAAAAGCTTTCTATAACAATCTCCACTTCATCTTTCATTTTAGTAAGTGGAAGATGACAAAACAAACTCCAGTATCAAAACGACTGTATCAAGATGGTTGCCTAGGTACCCCTCTCCTAAAGGGATCAATGCTAGCGTAGTTCTTCAAAAAACAGATGGACAATCACTCATGAGCCCGAATGTTCACCAAACTCTTACGATAGGTGAATTTATGAATGAATAGAACCTTTGTGAGCATGTTTGTTGGATTCTCCTACGTATCTATCTTCTTCAACTGAACATTACCTTCGTCAATCAAGTTCTGAACAAAGTGGTACCTTACATCAATGTGCTTAGTACGAGCATGATGAACTGAATTTGTGGCCAAGAATATCGCACTCTAACTGTCACAAAATACCATCAGAGACTTCTAATCAACCCAAAGTCATCTAGTAGGCCCTGCATTCATATTACTTCATCGCCTCAGTGATTGTCATGTACTCAATCTCTGTAGTAGACAAAGCAATGTTAGACTGAAGAACTTATCTCCCACTAACTGGGCTTCTTATCAATGTGAATAAATAACCAGCAGTAAACCTACGCCTATCAATATCACAGGCATAATCTGAGTTAATGTAGCCTACACACAAATCAACAACAGATGACTTCCTCTCAAACACCAAGCCTACATCAATTGTACCTTTAGATACGGCAGAATACTCTTCATAGCTTGCCAATGATTCCTTTCTGGATTATGCATGAACTTGTTCTCATTGCCAACTGCTTGTGTAATATGTGGTCTAGTACAAACCATAACATACATCAAACTGCCAACTGCACGAGCCACGAGCATAAGGAACTGATCTCATATCTTTCCTTTCCTGATCATCTTTAAGACATTGATCTGAATTCAACAGGAAATGAGATGCAATGGGTAGACTCAAAGCCTTGCTCGAGTCATAAACCCAAATTTTTTCAGCACCTTTCGAACCAAAGCCTCTTGTGAGAGTCAAATCTTCTATGATGCCTTGTCTATAAGAATTCCTCGAGCTTCACCCAACTCTTTCTTCTCAAAATGTTTGGATAGTTTCTTCTTTATTCTATTGATCTTAGTTTGACTGACAGATGCAATCAACATGTCATCAACACATAGACGGTAGATGAACTCACTATTGTTTTTAAAATATGCACAATAATCGTAGTGACTCCTTTTGTACTCCTCTCCCATCATGAACTGATCAAACTTCTTATACCACATCTGTAGTGACTGTTTCAACCCATATAATGACTTTTTCAATATGTAAACCAAGTCTTTTAAGGCTCCATATCTTGGGGGTTGTAGCATATAGATATCTTCTTGCAATTCCCTTTAAAAGAATGTAGTTTTAACATCGAGCTACTCCAGGATCAGACTATGGTATGCTACAAGTGCTAAGAGAACACAGATCGAGGACTGCTTAGCCTCTAGAGAGAATACCTCATCGTAATCAATCCCTTCCCGTTGCGCAAGCCTTTTGCCTCCAACCTAGCCTTGTACATCACATCAACTTAATGAGATCCTTTCTTCTTTGCATACACCCATTTGCACCAAATAATTTTCCTTCCTAAAGGAAGCTTCACCAACCTGTAAGTAGTATTCTTTTGAAGTGACCCATCTCTTCATCTATAACCTTTTCCAAATATCATCATATGGATTTTTCACTGCTTCTTTGTAGTGATTAGGAATTTCAGCCTCCATGGTTGAAAGTGCAAATGCAATGTGGTCCTTTAACCAAGCTGGTTTTGAAATATTCCAACTTCTAGTCTTGTTCCTAACAATAGACTTTTGAGCTAGAACCTCATCCTCAACTTGATCTTCAACTTCTCTCTGATCACTATCAATATATATCTCCTGATCTGCAGCTGAATAAGGTACCTGGATAAAAATGATTGGACTTTGTGGAGCAAATAGAGTTGCATCAAACTCCAACTTTTGTTGTGCGTATGCGGTCCCAATAACTCTCCATCTATTTTGAGTCCCGAGGCTTTAACATGCTTATTTCGTCGAATGTAACATCTTTGCTAATGATAATCTTCTTCTCTTCTTAATCATAGAGTTTGAAGCCCTTGACTCTACTCCTGAAATCAATAAATATTGTCTTCTTTGCTCGTTATTCCAGTTTATCATTTTGAACATGATAGTAAGTTAGACACTCGAACACTCTTAAGTGCTCATAATCTCTAGCAAGATATCCATATCACATCTCCTTTAGGATCTTCTTCTCAATAACTAAAGAAGGCAGATGGTTCACTAAGTGATAGAGTGATAGACATAGTCTATAACCTCGACCCAATAGACTCTATCCAACCCAGAATTGGATAACATATATCAAACTTTCTCCACCAAAGTTCGGTTCATCTTCTCTGCCACCCCGTTCTGCTTCGGTGTCTCTTGAACAATGAAGTGGTATTTTATCCTAGATTTTTGGCACTCTTACAAGAATGCATCCGATGTATATTCGCCTCCAATGTCTTATTTGATACACCGGAGCCTTTTACCAGTCTTAGTCGATTCATTTCTTCCAGATTCTAAAAATCTCCAATACTTCGCTCTTGCGCTTCATGGTATACACCCAAACATATTTGAAATCAATAAAAGAGAAAGAATTTCATCCCACTGAATGATGTTGTCTTCGTCCAACCCCAAATATCTGTGTGAACATACTCAATGATACCCTTTGTATTGTGGATAGCAGTACCAAAGGATACCCGTGTCTTCTTGCCAAACACACAATGCTCAAAGAAATTGAGCTTACAGGTGTTTGTTCCTTTGATAATTTCTTTCTTCATTAAATTCATAAGTGAAGCCTCTCCAACATAAGCTAGCCGTCTATGCCAAAATGTAGTGGCATCAGAAGAAACATCGGCCACAACAGTCGTTTTAATACTTTACTTCACTGAAGATAGTAAATGTTGTGATGACGAACTTCGTTCAGAAGAATCAATGCTCAATGATATATCTTCAGAAATCCTGTCTCAATAACTATCTTATAGCCCTTGGTTTTAAGGCCCCAAAAGATAATAAATTTTTCGTAATATCTGGAACATGTCTCACATTAGTTATTTCTCTCATAGTACCATCATGCATTTTGATAAATATGCTATTTATACTAATGGTATGATAAGCTTTATCATTTCCTATAGTTACTACATCGCTATCAAGTTCCCTGTAGCTATAGAACCACTCTCGAGTGGGACAAATGTTATAGGCAGCACCAGAGTCAAGGATCCAGCATGAGTTATTTGTGTAAAAACTATGAGAAATTGTAGATAATGATTCATCAAAATCTATAACACCTTTCCACAATAAGCTCTGCTTTCGCCTAAGAGGAAACTCCATTTCTCTTCTCTTTCAACTTCGGACACTCTTTCTTTAAATGGCTAGTCTCTAAATAGAATGCACACTAATTTTTCTCAAGAATGTGCCCACGAGACTTGCCCTGCTTTTGAGAAGTATTGTCGCTGCCGCTGTCACCTTTTTTACCAATTTATTTTTCTTCTCAGATCTTCCTCATTGGACTGTGAGAGTCTCGGTTGAATCTATTTTTTGCATATTCCTTGTCCCTATGATGGAACTCATGATTCAACAATGTCGTAGTCACGTCTCTATAATTCAAGGCCTCTTTGTCATGAACGAGTTTCATCTTGAAGTTCTTATAACACATTCGAGAGAGAATTCAATAGGAGTGCATTGTCTTCATCTCCAATCTCATCCAGATTTAAAAAATCTGCCCAATAGCTTTGTGAAATCATTCAGGTGGTCAAAAATAATAACTCTATGTTTTATCTGAAATCTATAGAGTCAACGTTTCATATGGAGACGATTCTTTACACTCTTTTTCATATATTTATTTTCCAATGTCTTCCACAATTTTCCTATAGAAGTCTCCATCTTCACTTCACACTTGATCTTTTGAGATAAACAATTTTTGATCAAGTCACAGGCACTCTGTTTCATCTTTAACCAACTCTATCAGACATCTCTTCAGGATTTTCATCACTATTCATAACTTCCTTCAAATTCTAAGAGCACAACACATCCATTACCTCACATCTCATCATACCAAAGTTTTCTTTGCCATCAAATTTTATCACATCTATCTTGACGGGATGTGTAATCACCTGTTGGATCGACGCTTTTTTACCATTGAGGTGGAAATATCCATGGCTCCACTGGATCTCATAGCCTCCACAACTTTGCTTAAATTGCAACCACCTCACGTCACCATAATTACACCAATCCGGCTCTCAAGAGCAAGGAGGAGATTTAATTTTTAGATCTCCTTGCTTGCCCCTCTGCCCAGTCTCGTGTGAAGAACAAAGCCCCCACTCTAATTCAGATCATTGCCAAGCAAATTCCTCGAGAGGCCCTCAAATCACTTTATATAGATTTGAAACAAAACTAATATAGAAAATCTAATCAAAGCTATAATATGAAAAATCTAATCAATGTCATAATTAGATCTCCTAATCAATGTCATAATTAGATCTCCTATAATTACGATCCCAATATAAAAGCAAATTAAAGCTTTCCATAACATGTTGCTCAGGGTATGAGGATCAATAAGATCACCTTATATTGCCCTCATTTCTATGTTTTATGCTCTACTAGTAGAACAGATCGATACGCACGACTAGCGAGTGGCAACTGCAAAATTGTATTTTGGATTTTGGGATATTATTGGCTCTTTGATTTCTGCTATTACTCCCAGGTTTTGTTCATGGAAAATGCATGGGCCATACTTGATGAAGCAAGATTTTCTGTGATTTGCAGGAGCTGATGGCTCCAACACGGCAAATTATTAGGTCCGGTGATTCCATGCGCTTTTAGTGCACTTTTGATATATTTTTTAAAAAGAGCAACTAATACACAATTTTAACTGCATATTAGCTACTCTTTTGCTGCCATTTTGCTGAGTATTTAAAAAGCGAAGCAAAAGCACAGCAAAAGGACAGCAAATATTCAACGAGTAAGTTATTTGTTGCGCTTTTGCTATATTTTTGCAAATACTCAACAAAAAAGTAGCTAAATGCAATTAAAATTGTGTATTAGTTGCTCATTTTTAAAAATACATCAAAAGCGCACTAAAAGTGCATGGAATCCGGATGAAAAATTAAATCCGGTGACCGGACCTAATAATTTGCCCTCCAACTCAGAACACACATAATTTTTGGAATGTTATGACAATCCAGGCATGCATGACTATTAATTCTTTTTGATCCTCACTACAGCAATTTCCTCTCCTTCATTGGTACCATATCCTTCCGCTGGCTCTTTTGTCTGGACGTTATGGGTAGGGTACTCGTATTGTACAGTTTTCCACGCTGTCATAAGAAAATCCTACTTATTTTTTGTTTTTGTTCCTTCTAATTCACAAGACAAGTCTCTATGGAGTCAAAACTCTCATTCCTCCATGGAGATCGAGTAACAACAGCATTTGCTGAGTTGCTAGCTTGATTTCGTGTCTGGATTTATGTAATTGTAGTCGTCCAACCATAGAGAAATCTTCCTATGTCATTTTTTTCAGAATCTATATATATTATCTATGGTAGGTTTCAAATGCTAAGTGCATAAGAAATTTCTGTATTTCGTGCTCGGAAATTCCATTGAATATTATTCGGAACCTTTGTATTATGTAGATATCCTGCAGTAGATGAACAAAGCAAGCAAGAGAAACCAATATAACAGTAACCCAATGTTACTAAGCTGTGGAAATTAGTTTTAAAACTCAAAATCTGCTTCCTCTGTATTCTCCCAGGGCTAAGTAGGAGCAAAGCCTTCTGCTAAAAGTTATAACAAACTAAAGCATGTGCTCAAGTACTGGGAATAGCAACGGTAGTGGAAAAATCCTAACAGAACATGGCTCAAGTGGAGGCAAACTAGTCTGCCAGCCCAACTATATTAATGTGCTCCGCATCTAGAATTGTTTGGTATAATAAAAGCCTATACGGGAGAAATTATTACGTCCGCTATGTCCGGACATTCACTTAAAATTTGATATATGGAATGCACTTTGTTTGCACTTTTTTATGCGCTTTACTTGCACTTTACCTGCGCCTTAGTTGCACTTTAGTTGCGCTTTGACCGCTCTTTTGTTGTGATTTTTTACTGCGTTTTGACTGCGCTTTACCAGCGTTTTGGCTGCGCTTGGCTTAAAGTTCCACAGACACATTAAATATATAAAGTAAAAAAATAAATCTAATTGAATATCCACTTATCATCATTTTATTGGAGTCCTTGACGTACTACGTCCGGACTCCGCACCTAATAATTTCTCCGACTTTGGCGTTCATGAGAAGTGGTATTTTTTATTTTTAAAAAAATCTGAATAAGAAGGTTTGGGGCGGGGTGCTAATTGACTGCTAAACTAGCTTAGTTCGAACTTGCTTTTCATAGCACAATTATAATTTTTGTTTGATTATTATTTGTTTTTAAAAAATTTTCATTTTAGAAAATTTTTTACATCATATTTAAAAAAAGTTACTTTTCCTATAACTAATTATGTTTGAACTTACATTGTGAATTATATTCGTAAGCTAACTCAATTAGGGTATGTTTAAGATAACTTTCTTACTATTTTATTTTTCAAAGCATAATTTTAATTTTTATTTGATTACAAATTGTTTTCAATAAAATTTTGTGCTTGGAAGTTATTTTTTACTTCAACTTATAAAAAATTTACTTTTCCTATAACAAATTTATAACTATTTTTTTGAAAATCTACAACCATCCTAAATAGATTCTTATTGAATCAAAACTAGCTTAGTTTGAACTTCGTGAATTATATTGATAACTTTCTTATTATTTTATTTTTATATAATCATAATTTTTTGTTTAACTACAATTTACTCTTAAAATTTTTGTTTTAGGAACCTATTTTTACTTTTGCTTTTAATATATATATATATATATATATATTCCTACAGTTCTTGTTCTTCTAAGATTCCATATTTTAAGGATAATATTTAGGATTTTGTAAATCTTCAATGTTTGGGCGGAATATCCTATTATCCTCAGAGCTCTTATTTTTCAATTTAAAAAAGATGAATTCATTATCTTCAAGATTCGATTTGTATGAATTGATTCGATATGTTTTGCCTCTCAGATTCAATCCTTAAATATTTTAAAATATTTTCAAAATCGATAGGATGGATTTTAACATTTCTCATAATTCTTATTCAAGTCATCATATTCATCAAGTAGTTTTCATGTTGGTTGTCATCTATTAATGCATGTCTTCCTAAAGATTTCATGTTCCTTCTTAAGCAATTCCCAATTCTAAACTTACCACTAGCATGCATTTTTTATTTTTCCTATATGCATCATGCATGTGTTCAGAAACTTCAAACTAATTATCCTAAGTTAAGGTCACATACCTCTTCTTGATCTGATTGATCAATATTATCTCTGCCATCAACAAAGATATTGGTGACTTCTTCTTTTTTTTTTTATCTCAGATAGTCTGAAGCTGGAGTCCCCAAAAAGCTCTTTGAAAACTCTTCTTGCCCTTCATTATAATTGCGTTTCTCCTCTAACCTTCTCCTTGCTAGGAGTGGCTTTGGAGTTTTGGGCAATCAGTCTTGATATTGATCCCTGGTTTCCTGCATTCATTAACAAATCACTTCTATTGAACCTTACCATTTCGTTGTTAAAACCTTACTCCTAATTTCCAATTGCGCGTCTTCTTCTGCTTTCTCTTTCAGAACAAGCGTTCTAAAGTTTGGATGCGTGTAATTAAGTCAATAAAGTTGTCTTCAATACCATTAGGTTTGTGAAGTGTTCACTCTATCGACTCTTCCACTTTTGTGCTATATTCTTCCCTTTACGTGGTTTCACTAGCATCAATCTTTCTTTGACTAACTCCTTGCTCATAACGAATTGAGTGATACCAAGAAGCATTGTCAAGTAGAATAATGTTTAGATCTTTTCAACTCTGTAATTACGTAATTTTTAGCATCATATAAAGTAGGTAAACAATGAATATAATCTTATTAACCAATTCCAGGCATTTAGTTTAATTTCCTACCCAAGTGCATTGCAAATAAGTGATAATTTGTGTGAATCTTATGTACTGTGTTAGAAATAGATCATTTGTTTCATGCGAAACAACTCATAATCATTGTAACAAATATCGTAAGGTCTTGATTGCTTAATCCTCATTAGTCCCTTCAATAAGTATAATACAAGTCTATCCAATAATGTCCTTTCCACTTTTGCAAGTAGAAAACCTGCATGTAGTCTCAGATTTTAAAGCAACAAAAAGCTATTTAAAGCATTTTGGCTTGTAGCTGAGCTAAGTCACGTATCTTTTTCTATAGTCCAAATTTGTAAAAGGTCGGTAGTTTTCTACCCTAACTCCATCAAACTAATCTAGGTGGTTTTGTATACACTTCCTGGACTAAGATCCACAATACAATAATCAAGTGACTTTAGAAAGATAATGACATGTACTGTTTCCACAAAAATTCAAAAAGGTATATTATTAAAACAGTTGGAGTCTCGGTAATAGAGTAACCTTCCACGGTGTATTTTCAGTTTCCGAATGTAACATCTACGTTAAATCAAAAAGTAAGGTTTAAATTTAGATTTTGAAATAAAAGCTCTGATACCACTTTTGAGTCAAGTGAATAGGTTGTTGACCTAAGTTAAATGTCCTATAGAGCTATCAAGAAAAGGGTGGGTGATTGGTATTTTTAAAAACTAACCCTCTTGAGAGTTTTGTTTTGAACGCGAAATGAAAATTTTTTGCAAATTTTGTTATAGAAAAGTTTTTCAACCACAAGAGTTTTACAACAAAAATATGCGCGAAAATAAAAAACAGTAAATAAAGAACACGAGATTTATAGTGTTCGGTCGATAAACCAGACCTGACATCCACTCCTCAGTAGGCCACCCTCTAAGTATTCACTAATACCAAATGTTGTCTTCCTTTCGCACCCACAGCAAGGCGGAGAAGCCTTTACAAACACTCTTTTCACTACTTACCCGGTTATTGTGACAGAGAACCGTAGTCCTTTTACACAATCCCCCAATGTTGCGAGAACCGTCCATCCTTCACACTTCCTAATGTGGGCATAGAACCCTTCATCCTTCACACTCTCCTAGTGTGGGCAGAGAACCCTTCGTCCTTTCACACTCTTCTAATGTCGGCAGAGAATCAGATTTCCTTGACTAGATCTTCCACAAGAAATCTAGAAGGAAGAAAGAAAAAAGTGAAGTAATCCCAATTCACAAGTAGAGTTCTTACCTTTAAACACCAAGTGAAGCCTTCACGTCCAGTGATAGGAATCCCCTCTTGAATGCTCTCTCACACTCTCTCCTGACTTTTCTTTCAAATAGGCACGAAGTTCAAAATGGC